AAATGTGTCAAAAAAACACGTAAAAAATATTCAGCGGCTTCTCTATTGAACTCTATTGTAGCAAAACCGCAGCTTTTTGCTTTTAAAAAAGTCCCTGACCCTTTCCAAAAACTCAGCAGCTCAAAAAAGCTGAGATGTGAACATGTTCCATAGGAAACCATGTTAAATGGACTGCAGTGCGTTTCTGCAAAAGGCACTAAAAAACGCATGGGTGTGAATGGAGCCTAAGTCCATTTTTCCTTTTTTTGTTTTTTTGCGCATGCAGCACAAGTATGGCGCATGCAGCACACTGCAACACAATGCATGTTGGGTGAACAATGTGTGTTGGCGTACCGTTCAGAATGAATATAACGTGCCTCGGCAATAGTGTGAATGGGCCCTTATGGAACCTGTTTTGCACTATAGCCCGTCCACTTCTGCACCACCCACCTCTGTAACATCCTATCAAACGTCATTCTGGATCACTGGCCAATGAGCTCTCATGACCTCTACCGATGAGCCAGTGATCTTTCCAAGGTGACAAAAACAATTGAGTAATGTCCGTGATCCTTTTTTTTTAAATTGGTGCTAACATCCAAATTTTCCAAAACTTTCGGGTGTACCCCCTTCTTCAAGGTCCAAGTAGTACTTACTTTTGGGGTGTACTTACTGCTTGGACCTTGAAGAAGGGGGTACGCCCCAAACGCTTGTCCTGAAAAGTTGGATGTTGGTGCAAAAAAAAAAAGTATCACGGATAGCACTTGTTTTTTTGTTGCAAGTGCACTAATCTGACTTCAACCACCTCAAGCCATTGGGACATGTAAAGGTTAATGAATGAAAAATAAAAAGCGGCACCCCGCTGCATCTCACAAAAAAAGGAGGAGCTCAAAGGGTCCATCTCCTGCCAAACCGCTAAATACAGAGCTGGGACATGTACACGGGAAATGGTTTATGTGCCAAAAGATCGTTACCGCACACACTCTTCTTGCCTTCCCAGCACTATGAAGGGAGAGTGCCAACCTTTTTCATAAACTGCACTTCATATGGTCTGGTGCCACTGCCCCGCCTCCATCCCACCATTTGGCTTACTAGTCAACATCAGGTCAAAGCAACAGGATTGTTTTAATACTCTCCTCACCGTCTTCAGGGCATGATGGCATTTCCTTCTCTGCTCTATTTTGTTCAGCACCATAAAGCTGAAGGAGATACCTGGTATATCCATACACTGCAAAGACGATGGCCAACAAGCCTGGAACAGAGCTCATCACAGCCACAGGAATCTTAAAAGGCCAGTCTATCTAAAATTTTGGTTCTGACTGGATGCTGACATGCTGGAACACCCACTAGGCTCCTAATACCTCTAACAAAAAAAATATACAAAGTAACACAAGGGTAACAAGATCTCCCACCTTAGTTGAAGGCTCCTCATTTCTCATAGAGATACTAATTAGTGAAACATCAGTTTTGGATGGACTGACCCTTTAACAGATTGAGACCGGGTTCACACCAATGCGGTGCGGGAAACGCTGCAAATCCTGTGCACTTCCCCCTCCTCTTTGCAATAGCATCGCGTTCATTCAATCTGGTGCAGGTGGCAAGGATAAATTATTGACACTCCAAAACAGATCGCAAAACGTGATACGATTGCTAGAAATTCAGGTGAGAATTTAAAAAAGGGTCCTGCGCCTTTTTGGTGCGAATGCGATTTGAACCATACAAAATGTATGGCTCAAATCGCACCGCACAGACATTTGCATGTAATTTGCACAGGAATGCAGTGCGATTCCTGTGCGTATTACATGCGGTCTCCTGCACTGCATAGTGTGAACCTGGGCTGAAACACAATGGTTGACATGTAATCAGAACTCTAGGTACCTTTGTGTATATCTGGCAGACTCGCTGCTTTGAAGAGCGGTGTGTGTGTGCGTGTTCTCTTTTGAAGTGGATCTATAGCCAACAATTTTTTAGTTTTAGATGGAGTGGGAAAGGGTTGGAGCCTCTATGAGATTTTTTTTCTGCTGTGTCCCTTCTTGAGAGGTTCACCCTCCTAATCACATGGATGCCAATTGTCCCGGATTTGGTGGGATAGTCCTAAACCTAAATCCTCTGTCCCACCTATGCTGTGTCCCGGGCCATGTCCTGGAATCACGGCATCATCCTTATTTGAATTATTGCACATGAGCAGTAATGCAAAAAGGAGTTAATTGCATGGACTGGCGTGGATGAGGGTGGTCTCCGCATATATAGAGTCTGAGCAGGGCCAATCCATAAATTGGCCAGCCCCTGTATACTTAGTGGCGGTATCTGGGCAACACCAACCTAAAAAGTGGGCGTACCTTGGGAGCACCCACTCCCAGTGCCCCTTAATGTTGGTAGTTATGCTTTTGGTCCTGGTGGCCATTGACAGAGTGATGGAAATCCAAATGTGTGCGGTTGTTGCCAGAGCAGGAAAGTAAGGAGAAATCTTCCCATTGGGGATGACTGTCTTAGAGGGGATGTCCTCTCACTTTAGAGAGACATTCTCTTACTTCCTGTTGTGTCTCCAGGACAGGAAGTGAAGGCAACTCTCCCCAACGGGACACAAAAAAAATTTTCTACTCTTCTTCTCCAAAAATAGTTTTGGTTATAACCACTTGCCCTCCAAAGGATTTACCCCCCTTCCTGACCAGGCCATTTTTTGCAATACGGCGCTGCGTTACTTTAAATGACAATTGCGCGGTCAGGCAATGCTGTACATAAATTACATTTCTGTCCTTTTTTTCCCACAAATAGAGCTTTCTTTTGGTGGTATTTGGGTTTTTTGTTTTTTTTTTTGCGCTATAAACAAAATACTGACAAATTTGAAAGAATAACAATATTTTTGACTTTATAGCTATAAAACATGTCCAGTAAAAAAATTTAAATAATCTAATTTCTTAATAAATTTTGACCAAAACGTATTCTGCTCAATGTTTTTGCTAAAAAAAAATCCCAATACTTGTAAATAAATTGGTTTACGTTAAAGTTATAGCCTCTACAAATGGCGGTATATATACTGGGATTTTTATTTTGATAATTTCTATACTACTAATGGCAGCGATGAGCAATTTATAGCGGGACTGCGGGGGCACTCTGACACTGGGTGGGAACTAACTGCCACTGACATCCCCAGTGACACTAACACAGTAATCAGTGCTAATAGCGGCGATCAGCGACTTATAGCGGTACTGCAGGGGGCACGCTGACACTGGGTGGGAACTGACTAACTGCCACTGACATCCCCAGTGACACTTACACAGTGATCAGTGCTAATGGCGGCGATCAGTGACTTATAGCGGGACTGCGGGAGGCATTCTGACACTGGGTGGGAACTGACTAACTGTCACTGACATCCCCAGTAACACTAACACAGTGATCAGTGCTAATGGCGGTGATCAGCAACTTATAGCGGGACTGCGGGGGGCATTCTGACACTGGGTGGGAACTGACTAACTGCCACTGAGATCCCCAGTGACACCAATACAAGGATCAGTAATAATAAAAAGCACCGACACTGTACTAATTACACTGGGCAGGAAGGGGTTAACGTTTGGGCAATCAAAGGGTTAACTGTGTGCTGTGTGCTTTTTACTAGGGAGAAGGGATGGACTGACCATTTGGAAACTCGGGCTCTGCCCGAGGGCCTGGGATCAGTAGGAGGCCCCATGGTACCTTTTTCATAGGCTTTTTTGAGTTTGGGCAAGGACACAGGGGCCCTATGATCCCCTATTGCCCGGGGGCCCCATGAGTTGTCAGTCCACCCCTGCTAGGGAGACATTCTGCTGTGCAGAGAAATACAAAGCAGCATGTCCTTGCTGACAGCAGAGAGACCTGTGTTGTTTACTCACAGGTCTCTCCCCTCTCAGCTTTCCCCAACAATCGCTGAGTGCCGGACGGGATTCGCCAGCCGGGACCAAGTGATTGACATCTCTAGCCGCCAATAGTGGCGCGGGTAGGGCGGTGCGCACCCCCTACTCAGATATGCAAATCCCATATATATATACACGTGATTTTGCACAGCCCTGCCACCCTGTAGCACTACTTCTACTATAGGGTGGCGGGCATTGGTCAACCATGGTTTTGGATACATTGTGCTCACTGATCAGCCAAAAGACTGTGGTAATTCTGTACAGGTATGTAGAAGAAAAAAGGGACTTTATGTCCTGCCTCCGAAGAACCGCTACCATGTATGTGCATCAGTAACGGGTAACATCATGGCCCAGACCATGCTTTGCCAGAATAAATGCTATGAAATAAAAATGGGGCACAAGGGTTAAAATCCTGACCACACTGTACATCACGGTAACCAAAAAAAAAACTTTTTTTGTAAATACGGCACCATCCATTTCCTAATGTTGCATATTCAAGACTATATACAAAAAACAGGGTGAAAATATTAACCCCGATATTAAAAAAAAAAAAAACCAGCGCTGCTGTTTATAAAACCATCAATCTTAATAATAATAACAATAATAATAATATTAATAAAAATAATACAAAAAAAGTACAAAACTTGAAAGGCAATTATATACAGTACTGAGAGGCACCACGAAACAAACCGTTAAAAAAAAAAAAAAAACAAAACACGGCAACTTCCCCGAATGCTTTCTGTTTCTGGAGGCGAAATCTGGGACCCGCGTCCGTGGAAGCGATACGATATTGCCAAAACGCAGTTAAGACATAGAAAGCCAAGTCTGCCCGCCACTTTTTTTTCTCTTTTGGCCCCCGTGGACAGTGTAGTTTCTTTGGCGTCGTATCAGGAACTGACATCCGTTGCTCAGCGTCTTGGAATCCGGAGAATTCCTCCCGGCCCGGCTGGTTGCAGGAGCTGCGGTGGCGTGCGCTTGTTTTTCCGGTACGGAACGCGGCATTATTTTTTTTTTTCGGGGTTGGGGTTCGGAGGCGGAGGAGGAGATGGTGGTTTGACCCAATTCTGCAGAGCAGACAGAGGAAGGTGTTTTTGGTCTTCTCAAAGTTCATGTAGACATTCCACGGCTTTTGGGTTACTGTTTGACGGTGAAGATACGGAAGGATTTGCCCTCTTTCCGATTCCTGATGCTGGAATTAAAAAAAAACGATTTGTTATTACTGGAAGGCATTGTGCGCTCAGGACCTAAAGTCGCGGTTGAGTCACTGATATGATCGCTCTAATAGCGAACAATAGGATGCGACTTGGCATACAATTTGCAAATCGCATGCCAAGTCGCACCCAATGTGACCGGGGGCTTAAAGTATTACTAAACCCATTCACTATATTCGGTCTCCCCGGACCCTGCATTCACTATATCCGCTCTCCCCGGACCCCGCATTCACTATATCTACTCTCCCCAGACCCTGCATTCACTATATCCGGTCTCCCCAGACCCTGCATTCACTATATCCGCTCTCCCCGGACCCCGCATTCACTATATCTACTCTCCCCAGACCCTGCATTCACTATATCCGGTCTCCCCAGACCCTGCATTCACTATATCCGCTCTCCCCGGACCCCGCATTCACTATATCTACTCTCCCCATCTGGTCTCCCCAGACCCTGCATTCACTATATCCGCTCCCCCAGACCCTGCATTCACTATATCTGGTCTCCCCAGACCCTGCATTCACTATATCCGGTCCCCCTGGACCCTGCATTCACTATATCTGGTCTCCCCGGACCCTGCATTCACTATATCCGGTCTCCCTGGACCCTGCATACACTATATCGGTCTCCCCGGACCCTGCATTTACTATATCCGGTCTTCCCGGACCCTGCATTCACTATATCTGGTCTCCCCGGACCCTGCATTCACTATATCCGGTCTTCCCGGACCCTGCATTCACTATATCGGTCTACCCGGACCCTGCATTCACTATATCCGGTCTCCCACAGTACACACAACATGGAAATGCAATTATTTTAGTAAATATAAACTGCTAAATCCCTTTTCTCATCAGCAGTATATACAGTGGGGATCGAAAGTTTGGGCACCCCAGCTAAAATGTTGTATTAATGTGCATAAAGAAGCCAAGGAAAGATGGAAAAATCTCCAAAAGGCATCAAATTACAGATTAGACATTCTTATAATATGTCAACAAAAGTTAGATTTTATTTCCATCATTTACACTTTCAAAATAACAGAAAACAAAAAAAATGGCGTCTGCAAAAGTTTGGGCACCTTGAAGAGTTAATATCTTGTACTGCCCCCTTTGGCAAGTATCACAGCTTGTAAACACTTTTTGTAGCCAGCCAAGAGTCTTTCAATTCTTCTTTGAGGTATCTTTGCCCATTCTTCCTTACAAAAGTCTTCCAGTTCTTTGAGATTTCTGGGCTGTCTGTCACGCACTGCTCTTTTAAGGTCTATCCATAGATTTTCAATTATGTTGAGGTCAGGAGATTGTGAAGGCCATGGCAAAACCTTCAGTTTACGCCTCTTGATGTAATCCCCCGTGGATTTCGAGGTGTGTTTAGGATCATTATCCATTTGTAGAAGCCATCCTCTCTTTAACTTCAGCTTTTTCACAGATGGCATCAAGTTACCATCCAAAATTTGCTGAAATTTTATTGAATCCATTTTTCCTTCTACTCGTGAGATGTTCCCTGTGCCACTGGCTGCAACACAACCCCAAAGCATGATTGATCCAACCCCATGCTTAACAGTTGGACAGAGGTTCTTTTCATTCAATTCTGTGCCCCTTCTTCTCCAAACGTACCTTTGCTCATTCCAGCCAAAAAGTTCAATTTTAACCTCATCGGTCCACAGAACTTGTTTCCAAAATGCATCAGGCTTGTCTATATGTTCATCTGCAAAAATCAAATGATGATTTTTGTGGTGAGGACGTAGAAGAGGTTTTCTTCTGATGACTCTTCCATGAAGACCATATTTGTACAAGTATCTCTTTATAGTGAAATAGTGTACCACAACTCCAGTGTCTGCCAGATCTTTCTGGAGGGATCGTGCAGTCAAACGTGGGTTTTGAATTGTTTTTCTCACAATCCTGCGAGCTGTTCTGTCTGATATTTTTCTTGGTCTTCCAGATCTTGCTTTAACTTCCACTGTTCCTGATGACTGCCATTTCTTAATTACATTCCGAACAGAGGATATTGACATCTGAAAACGCTTTGCTATCTTCTTATAGCCTTCTCCAGCTTTGTGAGCGTCAACTATTTTCAGTTTTCTAGACAACTGCTTAGAAGAACCCATGGTGCTGATTGTTGGGGCAAGGTCAGATGAGTCTGGGCATTTAAAACCTTTGAGATTGACATCACCTGGTCTTCCCAGACGATGATTGAGAACAATCCATGACACTGGCAGGTCTCAGCTTGGCAAAGGGGGCAGTGCAAGCTATAAATTCTGCAGGGTGCCCAAACTTTTGCAGACGCCATTTTTTTGTTTTCTGTTATTTTGAAAGTGTAAATGATGGAAATAAAATCTAACTTTTGTTGACATATTATAAGAATGTCTAATCTGTAATTTTATGCCTTTTGGAGATTTTTCCATCTTTCCTTGGCTTCTTTATGCACATTAATACAAATTTTTAGCTGGGGTGCCCAAACTTTCGATCCCCACTGTAGCAGTCTTGTGACTTCTATCAGTGTTCAGCTGAGCACTGGTTAAAGGTTGTAGGAGGAATTTTCTTTCTGCTGTAGGAGGGATACAGAACCCCTGACCTCTGCCTGGACAGTGCTGATTGGCCCTGTGCTGATCACATGCATTCTCCCAAGAAAAAAAAAACTCTCTAGACATACACACTAAACTGAGCATGTGCAAAGTGACTCCTAGAACTCTGTTTTCTCAGCAGAAGGATTGGGGACAGTAGAAGAAGGGGAGGATCAGAGAAGGCAGGATCAAACATCCTTTTTACACAAATCGGAGGATTAACCCCTTAGGTTCCACAGTGAGTATAACAAGCATGCTTTCCTGCATCTACAGACTGATTGTACTGTTGGGGGTTTAGTAACACTTTAAGAGGAACTAAATGCCAGAATGAGGAGGTGGGCATTACAATCAAGTGATCGCCGTGATTGGCAGTCACAGTGGTCAGAACTCTCCCAATTGCAAAAATACATTGGGAGCATTCTGGTTCTTGCTCATTACTGTGCGCACTTTCAGTACACTATAGTGTTTACCGAGGGTTACCTTTTTTTGTGAATAATTAAAAAGGAGTACTGTGCAGAAGCAGCTTCCACATTTCAGTAAGCCCCCACCTGCAGACCCCCACAACCAGAAGGCCAGGGTTATGGGGAAAAGGTCCTTGTCCCTATCAACATGTGCAAAGATGCTGTCAAGATACCCCCCCATCCCCCCCTATGTTAGGGGCATCTGGCCTGGTATGGCTTAGAAGGGCGAAGGGCACATGCTTGCCCCCCCCTTCCCCCATCCCTTTACTGGCAAGCTCGGAGAAGGGTCTGATATGAATTCCGAGGGGAGTCCCTAAAAAAGCTGAGTGGTAGTAGTCCTTTCTTTTCTTTTGTTATTGGTCTGAAGGTCCCCTTTAACATTCAGCAACCCCCCCCCCAAAAAAAAAAGTTATTTTGGGGGTTAATTAGACTCTACCTTTCTGAATGAATCCCATTTTTATTGGTGCCGAAATAATGGTTCTTCCTGTCCACAGGCATGACATCCACGTACCCACCAACCTCATCCTTTATGACTCCGGCGTGGACCGCCGTCCTGCAGATACTGGAGGTCTGGAATATAAAAGACACCAATCACCAATAAGATACCAGCAAAAAAAATTCAAAAATAAATGAGCCGAGAGACAGTCCAAGCTCTCCCGCGGGACGATGAGCAGTCCTGGCTGCATACCATACCAGTCACTCCAACAGGACGGTCTACGCAGTTATACAAAATGTTCACGAGGCCGTCCCTCTACCACAGCAGTCTCTCCGCATGGCAAGTAGCCCATCAGGCCACTGTGAGCAGACTCAAATGCTCCGTTATGATTTCTCTGTAGACTCTTAAACCACGCCTATTCTGACCACACCTATTCTGACCACGCCTATTCTGACCACGCCTATTCTGACCACGCCTATTCTGACCACGCCTATTCTGGCCACGTCTATTCTGACCACGCCTATTCTGACCATGTCTATTCTGACCATGCCTATTCTGACCACACCCACCAGTCACCAGTATAGACAGCACCAGGTCTATTAGGATCTCAGCAACATATCTGCTTGAAGCTGCTGCTTATATGACACCCAAGTTTCAGGTAGGATGAAGCTCCTTCATTCGGCTTCAGCACACGAGTGGTAGATATTTCAATTACCCAAGTAAAAGTGTAAGGTCCCTTTCACACTCATTCACTTCTGATGTATTTTTGAACACAGCATTTTTTTTTAAAGCAGTATTAACCCAAAAGCAAACATTTATTATTTTGCAGCTTACCAATGTTTGGATGTGATGGCTGCATTAGTTTTCTCTTTCTTCTATTCTTATCTGTTGAGTCAGCCAGCAACTCTACTGCTTTTCAGAAGTTCAAGCTCTCCAGCAGAATGTATCCATTTACATGGATGAGTCATTTGCATGATCAGCTTTTATTTATTCATGCAAAACCTTTATTACAAAAGGTTGCTGTAACTGTTTATAAAGTGTGAGCTGGATATTGTTATTATTATTATACAGGATTTATATATTATTATTATTTATACAGGATTTATATATTATTATTATACAGGATTTATATATTATTATTATTATTATACAGGATTTATATAGCACCAGGAACATTATTTTTGCTACAGCATTTATATATTATTATTATACGCAGGATTTATATAGCACCAACAGTTTGCTCAGCGCTTTACAATATAACGGAAGACAATACAGCAACAATACAGTTCAATACAAGAGGGATAGGAGGGCCCTGATCCTTGGAGCTTACAATCTAAAAGGGAGGGGCTAGTGGTACAAAAGGTAATAACTGTGGGGGATGGAGTGGTAGGAGGAGTAGAAGATTCCATTATTAGCTGAGGGCAGGATAGGCTTCCCTGAAGAGATAGGTTTTCAGAGATGGCCTAAAAGTGAGCAGAGTAGGCGATAGTCTGATAAATTGGGGTAGAGAGTTTCAGAGGATGGGGGAAGCTCTGGAGAAGTCCTGGAGATGAGCATGGGAGGAGGAGACAAGGGAGCTAGAGAGCAGGAGGTCGTAGGAGGAACGGAGAGTACAGTTTGGGTGATAATTGGAAACAAGATTGGTGATGTAATTTGGGGCAGAGTTATAAATGGCTTTATATGTGATTGTTAATGTTTTGAATGTTAGAATGTTATTCGTTGGGCAATGGGAAGCCAGTGGAGGGATTAGCAGAGAGGGATGGAGGCCAGTGGAGGGATTGGCAGAGAGGGGTGGAGGCCAGTGGAGGGATTGGCAGAGAGGGGTGGAGGCCAGTGGAGGGATTGGCAGATATGGAACGGTTAGTAAGGTGGAAGAGTCTGGCAGCAGCATTCATGGTAGACTGAAGAGGGGATAGCCTGCGATGAGGACGGCCAGTGAAGAGGGAGTTACAATAGTCAAGGCGAGATATAACCAGGGAGGGAAGAAGTTGCGAGTTTGAGTTAAGATGGGCGTATCTTGGAGATGTTGCGTGAGGAGGGAGTTACAAGATTTATTTGTTTTTGTATTCAAATCTGCTAATACATTTAACACTACCCCCCCCCCCCCCCCCCCCCCCCCCCCCAGGACTGACAGTGTTGCTGTCTGCTGTGTCCTATGCTCATTCCTCCAAAGTGGTATTGACCAGCTCACCAGGTGAAAACAGAGGGGAAGAGAGCCAAAGAAAGGAAAAACTGATACAGACACCATATCTAATGATTGACAAGCTGCAATATACTACATTTTAGGTTTGGGGTTTATTACCGCTTTAAGTGCACAGTGTGAAAGGACCCTTAGACCCCTTTAAGGCCAATGCGTATCTCTTGGCAGGCTTCGCCCTGTAAATTGGCATGGCACTCTGTACCCATACAAGGGCAGAGCCAGGAATGCCGGCTGTATTAGGTAGACTGGATGTAAGAATCGTATTTTAAGTCTGCGGTACGCCAAGTGCTGGGAAGGAATGCAGAGTGACTTTTCCTCGAGGTTCACAAGCAATGCCTACTGGGGGGGGGTATGGAAAAAAGTGATCTGGGCACATTTTTGTTTTGGATGAGATAGATTCCATTCAATAAATAAAACCTGTTTTTATTCCGCTGAGATTAAACGAAGGGCACAGGCTCTGAGGACCATTGCAAGCCACTTTGTTCCCTATTAGTAAGGATTATTATAAAACTTTGTAACTTTATCATTATCATTTACACTTATAATTGTCATATTCTTACAGAATAGAGTGAAACAGGAACTGCATGATGGCCACTAGGTAGTGCTGATGATCATAGTAAATTAGTATTGGTTTCCTATGATCGTCAGCTCCATCTAGAGGCCAAAAGTGGTGGTTTCCTGGGTCACTCTATTCTGTATAAATTAAAGCGATTGTAAAGTAAACCTTTTCACTTTTGCACAGCAGAGCAATACAAAGCAGCTTGTCTCCCTAGTAAATCACACACAGCACACAGTAAACCCTATGATTGCCCCAGATGTTAACCCCTTCCTGCCCAGTGTCATTAATACAGTATCAGTGCATTTTATTAGCACCGATCACTGTATTGGTGTCACTGGGGATGTCAGTGGCAGTTAGTCAGTTCACCCCAGTTTCAGAATGCCCGCCACAGTCCCACAATAAGTCGCTGATCGCCGCCATTACTAGTATACAAAAAAAAATTCCAGTATATATACCGCCATTTATAGACGCTATAACCCAGTGTCAGAATGCCCGCCGCAGTCCCGGAATAAGTCGCTGATCGCCACCATTACTAGTAGTATACAAAAAAAAAATTCCAGTATATATACCGCCATTTGTAGACGCTATAACCCAGTGTCAGAATGCCCGCCGCAGTCCCGCAATAAGTTGCTGATTGCTACCATTACTAGTATACAAAAAAAAAAAAAAAAAATAATAAAAATTCCAGTATATATACCGCCATTTATAGACACTATAGCCCAGTGTCAGAATGCCCACCGCAGTCCCACAATAAGTCGCTGATCGCCACCATTACTAGTATACAAAAAAAAATTCCAGTATATATACTGCCATTTGTAGACGCTATAACTTTCACGTAAACCAATTAATTTACATATATTGGGATTTTTTTTACCAAAGACATGGAGCAAAATACATTTTGGTCAAAATTTATGAAGAAATGTTTATTTTTAAAAATTTTTTTACTGAATATGTTTTATAGCAAAAAGTCAAAAATATTGTTTTTTTTTCCAAAATTGTTGGTCTTTTTTTGTTTATAGCGCAAAAAATAAAAAAAATCACACAGGTCATCAAATATCACCAAAAGAAAGCTCTATTTGTGGAAAAAAAGGACATAAATGTAATTTATATACAATGTTGCATGATCGCGCAATTGTCAGTTGAAGTAATGCAGTGCTGTATCGCAAAAAAAATGGCGTGGTCAGGAAAGGGGGGTAAATCCTTTGGAGGTCAAGTGGTTAAGATCCAAATTAAACCCTGGTAGGAACATTTCCTCTTTAACTGGTAAACAAAATGCCTCTCCCAGCAAGGTTTACCAAAGGACAGACTCCTACGAAAGATTTCCTAAGAATTGCTCCATCCTTTATTGGAACTGTCATGTGCTCAAAGCCTAAGCACATGTGGCCAATGCAGACCATGTGTGCGATCCTGCGACGCGGGGAGGAGGGGGGGTAAGCACAGCCGGCAGTATTTATACACTGTTTACAAAACTCCGACACGCGTCTTTCTTAGAAGTCACTTGTTTTTTAGCCGCGTTCACATATTGCTTTCTGCTTTACATCAATCTTGCAGCAATCTTTGACCACCTGCAGCCACAACTCCCAACGTCCACCCGTAACGGTGATCACATACATAGAGAAACATTTGTTCTGACTGGTCTGCATACCTTGCCTCCCTACTCTTCACCGATATAATTATTTGATAGCTCATCATATTGATGTGTTGGAAGCTCATCACATCATTCAGTAAAACTACCTGTAATGAAGATGGACATGAATGGTCTGAACACAATGTGGTGGAGCCACAGCTAAGTTCCTTCTTGAATTTCTTCTAGAATGATTTGTAAACAAATCAGGTGAATGTCAAGAAGAAGTCAACACCAAGGAAGAATGAGAACTCTACAGCCAATTCCTTGACCATTCAATCCACTATCATTCTATGATTAAATGACCTGACAAGTGCCAGAGACCTGAATCTGAAAAGTGAGAGATTTCCCTGAAGTTTGTAGTAGTTTGTTTCCCTGCCCCTCCCACAATGGGGAGATTTTCCTGCAGTAGTTTGTGTTGCTGCTCCTCCCACAATGGGGAGATTTCCCTTCAGTAGTTTGTTCCTGCCCCTCCCACAATGGGGAGATTTCCTGTAGTAGTTTGTGTCGCTGCTCCTCCCACAATGGGGAGATTTCCTGTAATAGTTTGTGTCTCTGCCCCTCCCACAATGGGGAGATTTCCTGTAGTAGTTTGTGTCTCTGCCCCTCCCACAATGGGGAGATTTTCCTGAAGTAGTTTGTGTTGCTGCCCCTCCCACAATGGGGAGATTTTCCTGCAGTAGTTTGTGTTGCTGCTCCTCCCACAATGGGGAGATTTCCTGTAGTAGTTTGTTTCTCTGCCCCTCCCACAATGGTGTGATTTTTTCCCAGCAGATTGTGTCTCTGCCCCTCCCACAATGAGATCTTCCCACCATATTTTTGTCTCTGCCCCTTCCACAATGGGGAAATTTCCTCCAGTAGTTTGTGTCTCTGCCCCTCCCACAATGGTGAGTAGTTTGTTTCTTGCCCCCCCACAATGGTGAGATTTTGTAGTTTTTTCTCTGCCCCTCCCACAATGGACATGTCCCAGCAGTAGATTGTGTCTCTGCCCCTCCCACAATGAGATCTTCCCACCATATTTTTGTCTCTGCCCCTTCCACAATGGGGAAATTTCCTCCAGTAGTTTGTGTCTCTGCCCCTCCCACAATGGTGAGATTTCCCCCAGTAGTTTGTGTCTCTGCCCCTCCCACAATGGTGAGATTTCCCCCAGTAGTTTGTGTCTCTGCCCCTCCCACAATGGTGAGATTTCCCCCAGTAGTTTGTTTCTCTGCCCCTCCCACAATGGTGAGATTTCCCCAGTAGTTTGTTTCTCTGCCCCTCCCACAATGGAGACATGTCCCAGCAGTAGATTGTGTCTCTGCCTCTCCCATAATGAGATCTTCTCGCCATATTTCTTCTCTCTGCCCCTCCCACAATGGTGATATTTCCCCAGTAGTTTGTGTCTCTGCCCCTTCCACAATGGTGACATTTTCCCCAGTATATTGTGTCTCTGCCTCTCCCATAATGAGATCTTCCCACCATATTTTTGTCTCTGCCCCTCCCACAATAGTGAGATTTTCACCAGTAGTTTGTATCTCTACCCCTCCCACAATGATGAGGTCCTACCACTGTATTATGTGCCCCCCGTCCTTCCCACAGTATTGAAATTTCTCCGCAGTAATTTGCATCTCTGCCCCTCCCATAACAGTGAGATTTCCATTACCGGGGTAGAGAGGGAGTTACTAATTTGTAGCAAACAGTCCTACATTAAAAAATCCCAATATTCCTTTAATTTATAGTCATCTCCCTGTGCACCACCTAAATAATAAACAAAACAGTGATGACTTTCATGAATTCCACCCACAGGTAAGACAGAGGGAAGGGCCCCTGAAGTGTTTGGTCATCTTTGATGTTCATACGCAGGTCAGATCCGAGACTCCGAAATAAAAAAAACTGTAGTCTCAGAAAATAGGAGTCTCATGCATGAGGGTAAAGCAGCAGTTTAACACAGGGGGCAGACTAACAGAAACTGGAATTGGCGGAGCAGAACATACAGAGATCTTCTTTAAGTATGTAGCTGATCATTCGTATTTTTTTACCAGGCTTATCCTGGATGGGAAATGAGGAAACTGGCTCAGTGTGAAGTTGGCACCAGCCCTGTATAATAACTTGCAACATCCACACAGCTACCCCATAAAAGTAAAGAGCAGTAAAACAAATACCACTTACATCTGCATAAATGTTGGAGCCAATGACTGGTGCCCAGTGGGAAGGCTCGTCCTTACAGTGACTTGGGCAGTAAAATCTGGAAGACAATATGAACAGGTTATTGCAGGTTCCCACTTGTGCCAGAACGGCATTAAAAAAACACCCTCTTTTCCAATATATATTCTGGCTCCAAAAACGTGAAGATTTATTAATGTTCTTTATGTGCCATTACATCAGGAGTATCAGATGCCAAATCCTCGATTCTCTGTTGCTCTGTAAGATGATGGCGAAGAACGGTTGAAGGTTAATTCCATCCGAAACTGTTGAAGAGTTGGTGGGTTGGATTAGTTTCTTGTATCTCTTTAGGTTCTGGTTTTCAGCTTCCCCCAACAAAACAGCTGTAATAAGGGGACCCAGGGGCGGATTAACCATTTGGAAACTTGGACACTGCCCGAGGGCCCAGGGTCAGTAGGGGGCCCCATGAGATGCCCCTGGTACCTTTTTTATAGGCTTTTTTGAGTTTGGGCAAAAACACAGGGGCCCCATGATCCCTTATTGCCCGAGGGGCCCCATGAGTTGTCAGTCTGCCCCTGAGGGGACCTCAAACCCAATGCTAGATGGATCCAAGCCAACGTTTTTTTCTTACAGATGCCAGGGCTGTCGGAATTTGACTCCATCATTGTAGAAGTCATTATAGGACACCATAGATTTTTCCATGTGAAATGTATACTACATTTTTGGGGCTAATACCAGAGTAATGCTATTGTTTTTGTTGCATCGATAGTGTCAGAGGAAGGATTATGGTGGACTTTGAGGTCACCAATCTCACCATTTTGACCTCCCCCACAGTTTATTTAAAATGACTGATCCAAGACAATAACTGTATAGTCATGCTGCTGCCTACAGAGGGCTAGGGAATGTTTCCCTATATTCTTGAAGGTCTACATAATTATGAGTCTTCACAAAAATCAGGGCCTATTGAGCAGAGTTAAAGTTTTGATTAGGAAACAAAATTAGGTTGATGCTTTGGGTTAGGTTCAAGAGTTACTTTAAGGTTTAACATTAGGGTTAAGTGTTAAGGTAAAGGTCAGGGCTACCTAAACCTAATTAAAGGTTAAGTTGAGGTATAAGATTTCACCTAAAGGTAATGGTAAGGTTTAGGGTTGGGGGTAAGAATTAGGTTGATGCTTCGGCTTAAGAGTTGGGTTTAGGTTTGGATTTGAGGATATGAGTTAAGGGTTTAGGGTCAGGTATACAGGTTCAGTTGAGGTTTAGGGTTAGGAGTTAAGTTCAGGTTTAGGGTCAGGTCTAGGTGTTCAGTTGAGGTTTAGGGTTAGGAGTTAAGTTCACGTTTAGGGGCAGGCCTAGGGATTCAGTTGAGGTTTAGGGTTAGAGTTACGTTCAGGTTTAGGGTCAGGTCTAGGGTTCAGTTTAGGGTTGAGTTAAGTTCAGGTTTAGGTCAGGTTAGGGGTTCAGTTGAGGTTTCGGGTCAGGAGTTAGAGATTCAGTTGAGGTTTAGTGTTAGGAGTTAAGTTCAGGTTTAGGGTCAGGTCTAGGGATTCAGTTTAGGGTTTAGGAGTTAAGTTCAGGTTTAGGGTCAGGTCTATGGGTTCAGTTGAGGTTTCGGGTTAGGAGTTAAGTTCAGGTTTAGGGTCAGGTCTAGGGGTTCAGTTGAGGTTTCGGATTAGGAGTTAAGTTCAAGTCTATGGGTTCAGTTGAGGGTTAGGAGTTAAGTTCAGGTTTAGGGTCAGGTCTATGGGTTCAGTTGAGGTTTCGGGTTAGGAGTTAAGTTCAGGTTTAGGGTCAGGCCTAGGGGTTCAGTTGAGGTTTTGGGTTAGGAGTTAAGTTCAAGGCTATGGGTTCAGCTGAGGTTTAGGAGTTAAGTTCAGGTTTAGGGTCAGGTCTAGGTATTCAGTTGAGGTTTCGGGTTAGGAGTTAAGTTCAAGTCTATGGGCTCAGTTGAGGTTTAGGGTTAGGGGTTAGGAGGTAATTTCAGGTTTAGGGTCAGGTCTAGGGGTTCAGTTGAGGTTTCAGGTTAGAAGTGAAGTTCAAGTCTATGGGTTCAGTTGAGGGTTAGGAGTTAAATTCAGGTTTAGGGTCAGGTCTATGGGTTCCGTTGAGGTTTAGGGTAAGGAGTTAAGTTCAGGTTTAGGGTCAGGTCTAGGGGTTCAGTTGAGGTTTAGTGTTAGGAGCTAAACTGACGTTTAGGTTATGAGATAAGAGTTTGGGCTTGTGTCAATGTCAAACCATCAGTTTGAGACAACTGAAATAATTCTGAATTCATTGATGGGTGCATTTAACCTGCAGTTGATCTCTTCTGACCTGCATTGGACCTGCTTCAAATGGGTTTTGCAGTAGATATAAAGGAATGCAAAACCCACTTGAAGCATACAAAAGCCCAGTGACACAAGCCCTTAGGATGATACTTAGGATGAGGCTTAGGCTACATTCACACTGGCATTTGGGTATAACACTTAACCCTAAACATCATCAACTCAACTCCTAAGGCTACATTCACTCCGGCAATAAGGACCAGTGCGAATTGTAGCGGCAGTTCTCCCTGTGGCTCTTAGCGGCTGTCAGAGTGTAGGTGCGACCACTGGCCCCATTCACTATAATAACAGGTTGCTGGCGGCCACACCTAATCAAAGTGTGTCCAGCAGCGTTCACCACAGGTAATCAATGGCTGGCTGTGCAGAGAGCTGTGAATAGGTGCAGCCACCGAGGACCTTCCATTATTAAGAGTTGCGTTGATGTTTTGGGTTAAGTGTTATACTGGAGCCTGAAGGTGTAGTTAGGAGTTAGGTTGAGGTTTAGGACAAGGGGGTGGATTATTGTTTGGTTTATACCCTACATTAGGTATGCTTTAGCTCTTCCATAGAATGTTCCACCTACATATTAAACTGATTAAACTACAATTTAGATGAAAAATCTTGTATGATATCAGACTGAAAGAGCAACCACAACATGCCTACCTTGGACAGTGTTTAGCTGGCTTTTCGAAGGGGCAGATCTCAGCCACAGTTGAGTAGCAGTCAATTGTCTGTGCTATGGAGAGAAGACAAAACACAAGCACGTCATAGATAGACACTCATTATCAGTCTCTGAGAACTTACTATAGAAAGATCCTTGTCAGCTGTCCCAGATGAAAACATTCAAATCTACCAATTGTGCCATAAAGTAAGAAAAGACAGCTATGTAAGGCAAGTGGGGGCTCATTTACATTGAGGGGCGATAAAAGACCACAGTTGAGTCGCATTTTAACCATTTCTCCTTAATTGAGAGAGGCAGCAGTTCAGAGTATACACATGCCGCGGCCACAATTCTTTGCTTTGCAGATGCGGCAGTAATTATAACCCCCTGTAGTTTCATCGGGCATAGTGCCCGCCAAGTGCAATCCATTCAAGTGAGTGCGGCAATTCTGCAAGTGCCTTCAAATGCACACAAAGGCAGTGCACTAGCGCAGCAATCAAGGTGTTAATGCAGGTGGTGAGGAGGTATTGTATCGCTTCCTCACCGCCTGCCCAATGCTCTCTGAATAGCGATCCATATGTGGATCCCTCCTCAGAGACCAAAGCAAATGTGATTGAGCCCTTATAGACAGCTAAAAAGAGCATTGATGTCATTGGTGGTTGTGGAGTTGTCCCTGGAACTATACAGGTTCCATTAAATGAGTGGTTAATTAGCCACAGATCAAGGAAGCCCTAGGCATCTCTGGAGGACTCCTGGTTGAGAATGGCTGAAATAGAGGGTGAGTGTCAGCTCTTTATTTTACAACAAAGTTACCAAAATGGTCAAAGTAGTATTTGTTCCTCTAAAGCCATGTTTCTCAAGTAATGGGTCATGACCCAAAAGTGGGTGGTGGACTGGGTCAAGGGGCAAGTGCCCCCAGGCCTCTCTAATGTCCTAATAAAACGTCCGGTGCCCTGGCAACATAGCTCAATAAAAACTGCTGGACACACTAATATATATTATTGCGGCCAGCCGGTCCCATTAAGGTGGTGCGCACGGTGCACTTACAAAGTGGTCCTACGGCCCTCATGCTCATTCCTCCTTCCTCCGCAGCAGCATTGGGAGAAAGTGACTACACTTCCTTCCTTCCAGCCAGCCACGCAGGAGGGAAGAAAAGCACCACTGGACACCAGGGAATGACTCCACTAGGTACTTCTCCTGGGTTGTGGATGGGCAATGGAGAGCGCAATTTGAAAGGAGTGAAAGAAAACAGGAAAACGATGATGATTGGGGGGGTGGGAGGACTGAAAGTGTGCATGAAAGGTAAGGGCATGAAAAGGGGGTCAAGGTGGGTATTAAAGGAGGGTGTGAAAGGGGGCTATGGAAAGAGCATAAAAGAGGAAAGGAATGGGGGCATGAAAGGGTGGGCTAAATCCTGATAAGACATATCGTGTGGCGACACTCTGCACATGCTTAGTTTGGTGTGTATTGCTAGAGAGGTTTTTCTTTTTTTCTTGGGAGAGTGCATGTGATCAGCACAGGGCCAATCAGCACTGTCCAGACAAAGGTCAGAGGTGTTGCATCCTCCTACAGCAGAAAGAAAACTCCTCCTACAAGCTTTATCCAGTGCTCAGCTGGACACTGACAGAAGTCACAAGACTGCTGTATACTGCTGATGAGAAAAGGTATTTAGTAGTTTATATTTACTAATATAATTGCATTTCCATGTTGTGTGTACTGTGGGAGACCGGATATAGTGAATGGAGGGTCCGGGGAGAACAGATATAGTGAATGTAGGATCCAGGGAGACCAGATATAGTGAATGCAGGGTCTGGGGAGACCAGATATAGTGAATGCAGGGTTCAGGGAGACCAGATATAGTGAATGCAGGGTCCGGGGAGACCAGATGTAGTGAATGTAGGATCCAGGAAGACCAGATATTGTGAATGCAGGGTCTTGGGAGAAAAGATATAGTGAATGTAGGATCCGGGGAGACCAGATATAGTGAATGCAGGGTCTGGGGAGACCAGATATAGTGAATGCAGGGTCCAGGGAGATCCGATATAGTGAATGCAGGGTCCGGGGAGACCAGATATAGTGAATGCAGTGTCTGGGGAGACCAGATATAGTGAATGCAGGGTCTGGGGAGACCAGATATAGTAAATGCAGGGTCCATGCGGATATAGTGAATGAAGGGTCCAGGTGAAGGACCGGATATAGTGAATGCAGGGTGAATAGTGAATGAAGTGTCAGAGGAGACCAGATATAGTGAATGCAGGGTCCGGGGTTTAGTAACATTTTAAAGTTAGGGGGTATTGGTGGATTTATGTTATTTTATGTATGCTTAAAATAATTATTTATTTTAAAAGTCTAAAAAAAGTGTTTTATTATGTAAAATTATGTAGTTGTTTTGTGGAATAAATAATAATGTTTCGGAAATTAAATTATTTTTGGGTCGCAACTTAATGACCAAGGACAAATGTGGGTCCTGAGTTTCCACAGGTTGAGAACCACTGCTCTTTTTCTCTGTAGCAAATCATCCAAATACAGTAAATGTAAGTGTTACAACTTCATTGTATTATAAAGTTCCCAACAACTGTGTAGTAGGGGAACCTTCCTGATTGGATATATATTTTGAGCCCGGGTTCACACTGATGTGGTGCGGAATTCACAGCATTTTCAGTGCGAATTCCGCATCGCATCAGAATCACACTCCGTTCATGCGAACTGCTGCGGGTGTGTATGTTAAGTTAACAACACCCCGAAAGCGGTCCGCAAAACGCGGTGCGATGTGTAGAATCGGATCGCATATGTGTGAATACCCATGTGATCCGATTCTAGTGCGGACCAAAAAAATGGGTCCTGTACCTTTTTGGTGCGGTGTAATTAGAGCCATACAAAATGTACGGCTCCAATCGCACCGCACACAAATAGCCTGTGATTTGCACAGGAATGCTTGTAGAATGTAACTATAAGCACACAGATTTCCCGTACCACTTACCAGTAACTTTAGCGACCATGAAGGAATTTGCTGGTTTAAATTTACTGCGGAAAGAAAGTAAAAAAATAAATAAGTGATCAGTGCAGATGATCTGGAAAACAAACATTTACAAATTCTTTACCCCTACCCAAGACCAAACCATAATGTCTTACCAGGGGCCGCATGAGTTGTCAGTCTGCCCCTGTGTCTTACCTTAAAGATTCTACGCCGTTCCTCGTGGACTTAACGAAAAACTGCAGACGACCCTTCCGCGTGATGTCCACCAGACCGCCATTATTATCGATAACCCCATAGTGAATTGCTGCCCGGCAGAGGCTGGACATCTGTGGCAACATTGGATTTGTTAAATATCTTCAAATTGGTGAGGTCAATATCTGGCCTAACGTAGCTATCAGAACTAAGACATCATTACTGTGGTCATCACTCAACGTTCTTGTGGAGCTAACAAAAAAAAACTAACTTATACAGAGTAAGGAAAGTTTCTTTGGGTTTTTTTTTTTCAAAATTTTCCAAAATTCCTAGCAAAGCACGTGGACTAGTAGTAATCACCGTTACATAATTGACAATACTCAATCCAATTCAATTTTGTAAGACACAAAGGCCCTGGTGATGTTGATTTTACTAAACAAGAAGTTGCATAAAGATTGCCAGATCAAAGAGAGTCCAAAAACTTTAGCCAGTCATCAGAGGTTCAAATACAATAGTCAACAGGCTTCGGAGGTTCAAACAATCCCCCTTCATCAGCGATTGGAAAATAAAGAGAGTCAAAGTACACATATGCTGCCAAATTTATCTTTGGGACACTTTGTAATCCACACACATTTTATCTCAATTCAATCAACTCCTTTTGCGACTTTGAGTGATCTTAAGTATACTTTAATATGTAAGCCCTGATGAAGGGGGATTGTTCAGACCAACAAAATACATTTATTGGTTTTTTCAATAATCTAAAGAATTATTCAAGTTTTCTTGGACTTCTTGGAGAAATGACAGTGTGAGGAAATGTCCCCAATGTAGTTGTCCCTATTGGAGTATTTCACTTCTGTTTCCATTCTGGTGACAACTATAAATTGTGGGATTTTATTTCACTTTTTATATTGGTGACAATGGTTACCGGGCAAATAGGATAAATCTCTGGGCATCAGGGCAACAGACAGTAATAAACACCAATAAGGCCTCTGTAATGGAACCATCCCAGCCTGCGCTGATTACTTCTGTTAGAATACCGCTTCCCCATCCGAACACCGACAACAGACACCACAGATGACCATACAAGACTGGTTTATTTGAACACAGATACAAGATATAAACACTCAGGGGACAATCTTCCCTTCCTGCATAATGACACAGGGCAGGACAATCTACATTTAGTAACAAGAGACACACAGGTATTCAAACTTTACACCAGCAGACAGTCCCATCAGGAGGGAGGGCTGCTGGAGCCCCCCCCCCCCCCCCACTAAGCTAATACACATAAACACATACATCCCATAATAGTTTGCTCCCAAGCAAGACACACACTAGAACAATGGGATGCAACCACACAACACCAAACAATCCACAACCCCCACCCACCTATCTTCTAGACATGTCAACACAAGGACAGATCACCCTGTACCCCTAAAAGGCACAGGGTGACTTACACATAAGAGGGATATGGGGAGCTGAGACAGGGGTCTCCCCACCTATCCAAAGTGAGCTGTATTGCATAGGCCCACCACCCAAAGTGACTCCCTTCACAGCCTCTTTTCCCCATTCTATGCAAAACTAGAAAATAAAGTGTTTTAGAAACACTCAAAATAAGCCTCGTAGTTTATGTGAACTACTTACACTGTCATAGAAAAGAGTTCCAAAAACTTTTGCCTTCTTATTTGCACAACCTGGCGGGCAGAGATACCTGTAGGAGGAATACACAGTGGTCTATTCAATATGGCGTACAGTTTGTAATCTAGTGAATACAAAGATGTCGTTTATGATCATATAATAGGTTTTAATTTAAAAAAATAGTAAAATTTGTAGATTTGCAAAATTGGCAATTCAGTAATCTTGACATGTTAGATGTTAGATGGCAAATGGACTTGTTAGCATGATCCTAAAATCACAAAACTTTTTTGCTAAATGATCTTTTTCTTATTTGGATAGTCGAGTCTCTTCAAAGGACAACTTCACCTTTATGGAGCTGTAACTTTATGAAAAATAGGAACTAGCATTTTCAGAAGGAGGTCAACAGCAACAGTTAGTTTCAATCAGTAGAGTTATCCTTTAAAGATGGCGGCCCTCCCTTTTTTCAAATACATTTTCAGAAATTGTTGTGCTGTGTGAAGTTCGGCGTGAAGCATTACAAGTACATGGAGTTTATTTTGCTATCTCTGCACTGAGACCTTCAGAAGCTATAAAACGACTCTTTAAACAATCTTTGCCGTTTCCCCCCACTGCCCGTGATTCAGCCACCGGTCATCCTCCATGACTGACGTTCTCTATTCTGGCACTGCTTGGCTGGGTCTCCATGGTGAAGCCAACACTACACAACCTCTTCAAAGTTTTTTTAATAACAATGAAAGAAGTGAAAGCTGGCATAAAAAAAAAATGGCATTTTGTCCTCGCTGAGTCAGCGCTCTTAGGAAACTTGTTGAAAACATCTTAAATGTTTATGTTTAACACATGTGCCCCCATCTTTTATATATGCAATGGGGTAGAACAGTGCTATGTCCATAACGACCAGATGTTCGTTTCTGTCTTCAAATTGGCACTACGAAAATGATTTTCTGATTGGTCGAGGAGTCTTTTTTGGCGGTACGGATTTTTATTTCAGCTGGAGAAGAACAAGTTGAGCAGTTGTGCTAACCGCCAGGTTATCACTTCTGCCACAGTCAAAGCTTGACTTTACAATCACCCCTTGTGCTACTATATTCTAATGCAGGCCATAGATGGGTCGAAAATCGGCCGATTTTTCATCCGAAAATAAAATCGGCCGATTTTCGGATCGTTAGTGGGCTAAATGTTCGGCCGTTTTTTCGGTATTTTGGCAGATTTTTTTATCGGTAAAGTTGGAAAAAAATCGGCCGATTTTGCCGATCGGCCGATTTTCGCAGCAATGATGGGCAAATCAGCCGATCTTTTACCGATAAAAAAATCTGCACATGAGCAGTGACCTGCAAGAGGAAGACAAAAAGAAGAAGAGGATGAAGAGGAAGAGGATGAAGAAGAGGATGAAGAAGAGGAAGAAGAAGAGGAGAAGAGGAGAAGAAGAAGAAGAGGAAGAAGAAGAGGAAGCGGAATGAAGAAGAAGAGGATGAAGAAGAAGAAGAGGATGAAGAAGAAGGGATGATGAAGAAGAGGATGATGAAGAAGAGGATGAAGAAGAAGAGGATGCAGAAGAGGATGAAGAAGAGGAAGAAGAAGAAGAAGAAGAGGAAGAAAAAGAGGATGAAGAAGAAGAAGAGGATGAAGAAGATGAAGCAGAGGAAGCAGAAGATGAAGAAGAGGAAGCAGAAGAAGAAGAGGAAGAAGAAGAGGAAGAAGAAGAGGAAGAAGAAGAAGAAGAGGATGAAGAGGATAAAGAAGAAGAAGAAGAGGATGAAGAAGAAGAGGAATTCCAGTCCGGCAAAAAGTGTCCCTGCAGAGAGCTCCGCTATTTCTTTGACAGTTCCTTGACATTTATAGCGGTTGCAACAATGTATCTATTTGTTTCCGAATAAAAACATCTGTATCCTAAATGGATACAAATAGATACATTGTTGCAACCGCTATAAATGTCAAGGAACTGTCAAAGAAATAGCGGAGCTCTCTGCAGGGAAACTTTTTGCCGGCTGTAGACGGGAGGAAAATCGGCAGATTTTTTTTACCGTTGCTGGTAACGTCGGCCGCTTGAACAACCGATTTTTCATTTTTTTAAAAAAAAAATCGGCTGATTTTCGACCCGTCTATGGCCTGCATTAGTGGCATGAGAGAATAATTATGCTGTTGTTCAGCCATTTTGAATTTGGTTTATCAATCTGGTATTGACTGAGGCCGAGGGTGGAATCCATGTAGATATTAAGTTAGTTTTGTTTGCCCTGATTAGGCCTGATTAAGGGATAAATAAGTGCTTAAGGGATGCTAAAATTACATGCAATCACATTGGTTGACAAACCAATTTAACATTCCTTAAATTCCTTTGCAGCTGAAGGCCATACAGTAAAAACTGAAATCAAAGTCAAGGCCAGAAAAGCAAAATGGGCATCAAAGTCCTAAAATGTGTACAGTGGTCACTATTGCTCAGGACTTCTGTTCCCCATCCAGACACAGCTCTAGAGCACCAAGCCACTCAATTGTCTAATCAAGACTTTTACAACCTGTGGGACCCTAAGGTTCCTCCAGATCTTGCTCAGGGCTCCTTGAGCCAGTGGCCCCAAGACCAGTGGAGCTTCTTGTTTTTCAGGTAAATTGCCATTGATATCAATGATCCATGTTAGCTGTCAGTAAAGAAAGTATTCTTCCTACTATCTCCTAAAGTATAGGGGCACTACATTGACCACCACTGTAATGGGCAATCTCAATGACCATCAGTGTAACAGGGCATGTTTTCCACTAACTACCAGTATAAGCAGGGTTCTTCTCTAATAAACACCTGATGTGCTGTCTAGCAAGGGTTCCCTGGGACCTGAAAACCACTTCTAGGATTTCTCCATGTTAAAGGGGTTGAGAGAGACTGGTCTAATCTGACTCAATGTCAGTAATCTGGTGACCTGGAAACACGTAAGGACACGAGGAACATGAATCTGCTTTTCCTTGTTCTGAATATATCTTGAAACAGATTCACCAATGAGCACCAGCTGGGAAAAATGATGCCCAGTACCTGTTACAGGTGGATCCTTTGCATTTGTCCCTCATTTTCGTCTCACACTTAATGACTTGAGCTGAGGAACAAGGAAAAAAGTTGAAAATTAGGTAATAACTAATTCAGAAGACATATGCTACTTTGTAAAGACCCAAAACAGAAGGATGTAAACTGAAACTGATACAAAACAATAGCATGTTGTATTACAGGTGTCTAAAACCAATGGTTGGAATTATATACAATGGGGCCCTATAGCAAGTCATTAAAAGACCCCACAGCAAACGACTTCAAGGCCTCTTGGCTTGCCAACTCTTATCCAAGGGTTCAGCTTGCTAACTGACATCTTAAAGTCCCTTTCCAGTTACCAGGAGATGTAAGAACTGTAGTCTTGGTTTCCTTTGTTATTCTGGTGATTTTTGTAGTGGTTGAGTGGGGTGGGGGGTGGGGTGGGGTGGGTGTGTTGATGGTTTTTATTGCTGACAGTATACCTATTTGGAGAATTACCCCTTACCTTCTCTTCTTGTTGTCACACAGGAAGTGATGATGAGTCACCCCCAACTGGGACAGCCAATGGTGTAACTATAGCTATAGCAGCCCCCCGCTGCCGTTATAGGGCCTAGGGGTAGAAGGGGAGCCTTTTTAGGAGGCTGTTGAGGCAAATTAACTTGCAAAGTCTGCAGTCTACAAGAGCTGGCATGACCTCTTTGGTGTAGAAGGCTTGAGTGGCCTACATAGGGTCCTGAACTCAACCTCACCTTCCCATCCAACATCAGTTCCTAGCCTCACAAATGCGCACAAATTCCCAAAGACAGCCTCCAAAATCTTGTGAAAAGCCTTCCTAATACAGTGGAGGATAATAGAGACACAAAGGGGGCCAACTCCTTATTAATGGTTAAGGTGGGGACGGGGGGGAACTCCATAATGATGGCTATGGTTTTGGAATGGGATGTCCAACAAACTCATAGAGGTGTGATGGCCTTTGGCCATATAGTGTAGCTCACCTAAAGAGAGTTTTATGTTTATAAAGGAGATACATTTTTAGAGATTTTAAATATTTTTGTCCAAATACACCAAAAATCAGGAGCAGTAATATAAATTTGGGGAAATGACCCAGTAAATTGTACTTCTATAAATCACTCCCTATTAGTATTTCTTACTCATTAGGTTTTCAGTGGTTGGCTGTGTTGTCTTTGGCACAACTTTGGGTTTAGTGATCTTTTCGTGCACCCAGATCAGTGTTTCTTCAGGAATTCGAGGCGATTCAATTTCATTTGTCTCCTCTGTCTCTACAACGGGTTTGTCACCTGCGGGAACAGAACAGGACGCCGCATTCAAAAAAGTCTGCAGAATGGATGCAGCCAATACAATCAAACTGATAAAAACAAGACTTCCCATTGTTTCTCCAAACATTTAAATAGTTCAATCAATTCTTAGGAATATAACAAATGTTATTTATTAATATTGTGCAAATCCTCAGAAGGGACATGGTGTGGCTTGAAGTACAGAACAAGTAAAATGACTTCTTTGGCAGAGGTGATCGTTTTCGTTCGCAGAATGAAAATTAAAATAATTGTCTTTCATTTTCTTTAAAAGTATGACTATCCATAAAATATGTCCAGCGAGTGATCTTCACAACGGCACTGCAAATCCCAACAATGTTCATGGAAATCATAACTCTAGCCAAAGCCTTTTTATGGATTGAATGTGGAAGGCAGAATCTAATTCCTTCATTGTATAACACAAGTTCTCCTCAATGCTGACACCCTTGTGATTAAAGCCCAACTCAGGGAATTAAAAAAAATAAAAATCTACCATTACAGTTGGGTCCATCTGCACTGCAAGGGTTAAATACCTGTTAGGCTGAGGGGTGCCAGAATATCAGTGTCTTCATCAGAGTACCCCCTTACATCAGGGTCCTTCTCAGACTTCTTCCTTGCATCAGGGTCCTCATCAGAGCCCCCCTTACACCAGGACCCCCAGCAGTGCCCCCCCCCCCCTATAATCAGGGTCCCCATCAGAGAACCCATTAGTGTTTCTTCATGCATCAGGGTGCCTATCAGAGGCCTCCTTACATCAGAGCCCATGCTTACATCAGAGTCCTCACCAAAGCCACCCCTTATATCAGGGCCCCCATCACAGCCTTCCTCTGACAGCATGGTCCTCATCAGAATTACCCCTTACATCGGAGTCCCTCCTTACATCAGGGTCCCCATCAGAGTCCCCCTTACATCATGGTCCCCATAAGAGTCCCCCCTTACATCAGGGTCCACCATCAGAATCAATGTGTCCATCACAGCTCCCTTACATGAAGGTCCTCATAAGAGTCCCCCCTTACATCAGGGTGCAGATGAGAGCTCCCCTTACACCAGGGTCCCCATCACAGTCCCCCTTACAGCAGGGTCCCCATAAGAGTCCCCCCTTACATCAGGCTCCCCATCAGAGTCCCCCTTACATCAGAGTCCCCCTTACATCATGGTCCCCATAAGAGTCCCCCCTTACATCAGGGTCCCCATCAGAATCAATCTGCCCATCAGAGCTCCCCTTACATGAAGGTCCTCATAAGAGTCCCCCCTTACATCAGGGTGCAGATGAGAGCTCCCCTTACACCAGGGTCCCCATCAGAGTCCCCCTTACAGCAGGGTCCCCATAAGAGTCCCCCCTTACATCAGGTCCCCATCAGAGTCCCCCCTTAAATCAGGGTGCCCATCAGAGCTTCCCTTACATGAGGGTCCTCATTAGAGTTCCCCTTTACATCAGGGTGTAGATGAGAGCTCTCCTTACATAAGGATCCTCATCAGGGTCCCCAACAGAGTCCCCCCCCTTTTGTCAAGGTCCCCATCAGAGTCCCTACTTACATCAGAGTCCCCTTTAGGGAGGGAGAGGCAGAGACCAAAGGCAGCCTCTGCTGATCTGAACCCTCAGTCTGTACACATTGAGGATATGCCACTGACCCTAGCTACAGGCTAGATGCTGCCCATGGGCTTTAGCTTGGAGACCCCCGCCCTAGATATAAGGGGGGGAGGGGTGCTGCAAGGGCAGTTTTCTTTCCATTCCTAGGATTGGGTTTTAAAGTGTAACTGCAGTTTTTAGCTTTGGATAGCGTTGAGAGGGATTAGAACCCCTGTCACAATTCATTTCTGTCTGTGTCCCTGTTAGAGAGTTTAACCTTCTTTATTTGTCCCTGTGACTGTAATCACTGAAAGGGAAAGTGAAAGTGAAAGAAAATCTAAAATGTTGGGTTGTCACCAGAACAGAGGGGATATCTTTCAATGGGGAGACTAATTCATGCACAGGGACAGTCAGGCTAGGAGGGAAAGCACTAGATGACGCTGGATGTCCTCCAGCCAGGAAATGAGACGGGGCTCCATCTGACTTGCTAGCCAGCCAGGAAATGAGGCGGGGCTCTATCTGACACTTAGATGTGGTGACTGCATTCATTTTCTTTTTTCCCTCTATTTTCACCTGGTAATCTGGCCAATAACACACCTCCTGTATTATTTATTATTTCAGGTACTTTTATAGCGCCGTCAATTTATGCAGCGCTTTACATATATATTGTACATTCACATCAGTCCCTAACCCTCAAGGGGTGTACAATCTAAGGTCCCTAACTCACATCCATACATACACATACTAGGGACAATTTAGACAGGATCCAATTAACCTATCAGCATGTCTCTGGAGCGTGGGAGGAAACCGGAGTACCCGGAGGAAACCCACGCAGGCACAGGGAGAACATGCAAACTCCAGGCAGGTGGTGCCATGGTTGGGATTAGAGTGCCTCCACTCTGGATGAGGGAGCACAGGGGATACAGCAGACAGCAGCATTGCCATTCTAGGGGGAGGGGAGTGTTAGATGTACTAGCAGATTTAGATACACCAAGTGTACATTGTGAGAAGCTCACAGTGTGCAGTGAAATCAGAGTAAGCCATTTCAGTCCAGGAGAGGAGCCGCTACAACTGTGCGAGACTGAAGGGAAGGCCGGAGGTCAGATCTGGCTGGTGTGGTCATATTGGATACATGTGGATATATTTTTCGAGTTTGTAAAAATGCACAAAGCACACCTAGAGAACCTCTGTACCATAAAAGCTCTGTATATCTGGCATCTCTCTGCCAATATCGGGGCAATACTTCTCTAAATTGCGCATAGTTGCTTTATTGCGCCCCATAAACCGGAAGGCACATTTTGGCGAGCCCCAACGTATGACGTCTTCCTAATGGGAATCGCAGGAGGGCCCTCGACGTGTGATGTACACGTAACCCAGCCACGATGAAAGTCCGCCGACGGACCCAGGCTGCAGTTTTTACGACTAAAATAATAAAACGCTTTCACGATTCATCATGGAACGCTCAATAACGCGTTAAATATTTGGTTGCCGGGCAGCCCAGCGTGCCAGGACAAGCGCTCCTGATTGTCGCTGGATTCGCAGAGACGGAATAGCCGCGGCGGATTAACCGCTTTCACAGCTGATTAAACAATTCCTGACAACTTTTTTTTCCCCTTTGCAAAATTTCAGGGAAGACGAGCGTTAAAGGTGACGACGAATCTTCAAACTCATTGATGATTGTTCCAGGACTCCGAGGAAGGGGAACGCAGTCACCAACTGTGCCTCCACGGCGGGCAAAGAAGCAGTTGAACGGAACGGCTTTCCCAAAGTCAGATTAGAATTTCAAACAAAATGGCTGGATGCTTTAAAAGCGGGATTAAACCCAAAACCAAAAATGTAATATATTGCAGCTCACCAATCAGTAGATGTGGTGACTGCCTTCGTTTTCTTTTTTCCCTCTGTTTTCACCTGTGATCTGGCCAATAACACACCCCCTGTATTAGAGTGCCTCCACTCTGGATGAGGGAGCACAGTGGCCACAGCAGACAGCAGCATTGCCATTCTGGGAGGAGGGGAGTGTTAGATGTACTAGCAGATTTAAATACACCAACAAATTGAAGCCAAACTCCAGGTCACACTTTATAATCAGTTACAGCGAACAGTTTTTTCCTTTTGGGATAAAGGTTTTACATGAATAAATAAAAGCTGATCATTGTAAGCACCCCTGCTTATATATTTATATATATATATATATATATATATATATTGACATATATTTTGAAATATATTGAATACGGCCAAAATTGTAGTATTTCATATATATGTCAATATATTGGGGATGAATATTTTTAAAATATATTTTTCTTCCATGTGGGTTACAATGTTGCAACATCTGACTGATGACATCATCCGAGCCTAGGCAACGCCACTGAAGCTTGGCTCAAGGGCTGTTTTGACATGATAAAATGCAGAGCTGTTCTAAAAAAATGATAATGTTTTACATTGTGAGCAGTGATGAGTTCAGGCAGGTTCGGACCAGCATCCAAATGCCCATGTGTGTGGCCGCCAGGAAGCTGTGCCCTGTGGCGGGCTGGTACACATGGGTTCACATCCCAGTGTGAACACCGCCAAGCTCATCACTAATTGTGACTATCAGGAATTTATTACATTTTTTGAAAGTTACTGAAAGGTTCACTTGAATCAGTCACTTAGACATAGGCTGCCAACAAGCATGCAGGCCACAACTCAGTATGCCCAGCAGAAGGAAGGTCATGAACTTTTAATGTTTATTTTTTAAATATTTAATACTAATATTTAAAAATGATACAGAACATCAGATTATAATTTAATTTTAATTTAACTTTAAAGCCCAATTTAGGAGAAAAAAAAAAGCTTTCACTTGCAGTGGGGCTGTGCCCGCACTGCAAGGGTTAACTGTTTGTTTTTGCCTAGTGGATTGGAGAAGGTAGATATACCTTCCTAACATTCCTAATCCTCCATTCCTCCCAGCACGAGACCAGTCTCTGCAGCTTCTGCAGCTTCTGCAGCTTCTGCCCCCCCCCCCCCCCCTGCTGTCCAGCGGTCTTGTGTAGTAGATTACTCCTGACGTCATCATGCTCATAAACCTACTCTGGATAAGGGGACATCAGGGACAGTCCACCTCTGGATTGCGGGGGCACCGTATGCCGCTCAAGAGGAGGATTGGGTGAGTATAGGCTTTTTTTTTGCCCAGAATTAGGCTTTTACCTTAATGCCAGGCTGCCACATATATGTGTCTATAGGGCTCTCTTGGTCTGTACTGAGAGTGTGCTCACTGCCAGGGGCGGACTGACAACTCATGGGGCCCCCGGGCAATAGGGGATCATGGGGCCCCTGTGTCCTCAACCACAATCAAACCACACCCAAAAAAGCCTATGAAAAGGCCCCCTACTGAACCAGGGCCCTCGGAGCCCATAGAGTTGTGATTGGTGTATCTCCCAGAACCAGGGGCGGACTGACAACTCATGGGGCCCCTGGGCAATAGTGGATCATGGGGCCCCTGTGTCCTTGCCCAAACTCAAAAAAGCCTATGAAAAAGGTTCCAGGGGCATCTCATGGGGCCCCCTACTGACCCTGGGCCCTCGGGCAGTGCCCAAGTTTCCAAATGGTCAGTCCGCCCCTGCTCACTGCATGCTCCCAGCACACTGACCGAGCTGTCACCAACAGCTCCTGCTCAAAGTTTACGATCTGGAGCTGATAGGACAGGATCCCAATCATGTAACTGATGTGACAGCCAATCGCAGCGATCACATGATCAGGAATGCTACCTCTTCTTAAAGGGCCAGCAGGAAAGGGTTGAATATCAAATTTACCAAACTTCATCTCACCTCCTATTTCAAATAAAAATGGATGGATTGTGTTGGAATCATTGAGCTCTTTACCTTTGTAGCAGAGATTGTTCCTGCAGTTGCCGCCGTAGCTGGGTGGGCACTCAGAGCAAGGTCGCCCGGTTTTATAAGGTGCTTCACCAATCCAGTTACCCCTAAAAAATAAAAGGAAGCAGCAGGGAGAAAAAAAAAATCGACATTAGTATCATATCACAGGCGTATTGTGAGCCTCCTCTGCTCTCTCGGGTGAGGCAACCTAAGAGGGGCGACGGTATGAATGCAGCTACTGTGCGCCGTGATGGCAGACTGCGGCCGTGCTCCCATAACCTGCTATGAATGGATAGAAAGATACTTTGAATCTCACAGATTAGAACTCCGAAAGTGTTTACATCCTCGCCAAACCTCTCGCCGTTCCACTAATCGATTGCCAATTGTCTCGTTACCTTTGTGATGATTCGACACTTTTTATACACATTAAAGCAAAGATGTTTTTTAAGAGGACGCAAAATCTGTCCTATAGGAAGACAGAGAGGTTTACTGATGCCGCGAGGAGTATTTTCCACCTCCACCGCCGGCAATGAAAGCTCCGTTTGTGTGCGCGCCAGCAAGGCCCCCCCTCCTCCCCACCATCCTCCGAGTTGCGCATACTGGTCCTTACTTTGGGGAATAGTTGCAGACCAGGTAGACGGCGTTCTCCCAGATTTCTCCCCACACGTTCATCCGTTTGCAGACGTTGACTGCGCAGCCCACTTTTGTGGTCGTGGCCCAGACGATCTGGAGATGGAAAAAATGGGTGAAATAAAAATGAACATGGTCAACGGGAGTCTGTTCGGAGAGGTGCGGCCGGCGGCTGCGGTTCGGCTCTGACTGGGAGGTCGGGTCACCTGCGGGTCTCACGGTGCACTGCGGTACCGCATTTAAATTGTGGATTTAAAGGAAGCCTATCAGATGAGTTATTTATTTATGGTACTTATATAGCGCCGTCAATTTACACAGCGCTTTACATATAGATTGTATTATATATATACAATATATATGTAAAACCCTCATATATATTGAGGGTTAGGGACTGATTCACATCAGTCCCTAACCCTCAAGGGGTGTACAATCTAAGGTCCCTAACTCACATACATATATATACTAGGGCCAATTTGGACAGGAACCAATTCACTGACCAACATGTCTTTGGAGTGTGGGAGGAAACCAGAGTACCCAGAGGAAACCCACACAGGCACAGGGAGAACATGCAAACTCCAGGCAGCTGGTGTTGTGGCTGGGATTCGAACCAACGACCCTAGTACTGCCAGGTGTAAGTGCTAACCATTAGCCACTGTGCTGCCCAGTTGCTTTGGTTTTATTCTCTACAAGCAACTGCCCTGCTAAATCCTTATGGGTGCCGGGAGCCTGAACCTGTTTCCTCGTTCCAGCTCCGTCCCCTCCCAGGGCTGTAACTAGGTGCCACTAGAAGTTCATTGGCTGAGTTTTCTCACCATCTGGAGTTGCCCTTTAAGGACCCATTCACACTAATGGCTCATTCACATGGGCAGAAAAAAACTCTGAGGTTAGATGGGCACAACGTCTAGTCTTGTGCGCATCCGAACGCAAGAACTGTAGTAATCAATGAGCCCATACACACAGCCGCATGTACATGAAAAAATGTGCCCTGCATTTAGATGCACACAAAAAAGCAGGACAGATCTGCAAATATTTTTGTGCATTTGCGCATAAACGTGCATAAATGAGCAAAAACGCATACATGTGTAGTCATTCATTGGAATGAAAAAGGAATTGCATGCATCCGACACTTTACGCGTCTAAACATGTTTAGGCGCAAATACTCTAGATGCATATTTACACAGGATCATCTGCTAACTATGCTAGTAAGAACCTACTTTCTGTGTAGAAAATATACCTATGATAGTGTAAATGAGCCCTGAAGCATTCTGTTGTGGTGCGTTAACTCGCGCAGGGGCGGACTGACAACTCATGGGGCCCCCGGGCAATAGGGGATCATGGGGCCCCTGTGTCCTTGCCCAAACTCAAAAAAGCCTATGAAAAAGGTACCAGGGGCATCTCATGGGGCCCCCTACTGATCCCGGGCCCTCGGGCAGTGCCCGAGTTTCCAAATGGTCAGTCCGCCCCTGAACTCGCATTATGAAAATCAAGGATAAAAAACGTCTTATTAAAAAAAAATGACAGTATGCGTGTTGTACTGTGCTACAGTGTGCCATACATTGCATTCTAGTGTACAGTGTGTTTGGGTGCCATTTGCAATAAATACACAACGCATAGAAGCAAGGCAACGTTAACAAGTGTGAATGGGCCCCAAAAAGTGCATGTATCATTAGAGAATGTAATATTCTGTGAAGGAGGAGGGAAAAAGAGCTGATATTTCCTATTAGGTTGTTAACATTTTCAGCAAAAGACCCACCCCCCCCACGCTGGTGACCCCCCCCCAAAAAAAAAAGAAGTAAGGGAAATTTTTATTCAGTGGAGAAATATAATCCTGAATTGAATAATAAAGTGATACTAAACCCTGCATTCACTATATCCGCTCTCCCCGGACCCTGCATTCACTATATCTGGTCTCCCCGGACCCTGCATTCACTATATCCGCTCTCCCCGGACCCCGCATTCACTATATCCGCTCTCCCCGGACCCTGCATTCACTATATCCGCTCTCCCCGGACCCTGCATTCACTATATCTGCTCTCCGTGGACCCTGCATTCACTATATCTGGTCTCCCCGGACCCCGCATTCACTATATCTGGTCTCCCTGGACCCTGCATTCACTATATCTGGTCTCCCTGGACGCTGCATTCACTATATCCGCTCTCCCCGGACCCTGCATTCACTATATCCGCTCTCCCCGGACCCTGCATTCACTATATCTGCTCTCCGTGGACCCTGCATTCACTATATCTGGTCTCCCCGGACCCCGCATTCACTATATCTGGTCTCCCTGGACCCTGCATTCACTATATTTGGTCTCCCCGGACCCTGCATTCACTATATCTGGTCTCCCTGGACCCTGCATTCACTATATCCGCTCTCCCTGGACCCTGCATTCACTATATCCGCTCTCCCCGGACCCTGCATTCACTATAACCGCTCTCCCTGGACCCTGCATTCACTATATCTGGTCTCCCCGGACCCTGCATTCACTATATCCGCTCTCCATGGACCCTGAATTCACTATATCCGGTCTCCCTGGACCCTGCATTCACTATATCTGGTCTTCCCAGACCCTGCATTCACTATATCTGGTCTCCCCAGACCCTGCATTCACTATATCCGCTCTCCCCGGACCCTGCATTCACTATATCCGGTCTCCCCGTACCCTGCATTCACTATATCCGCTCTCCCCGGACCCTGCATTCACTATATCCGGTCTCCCCGGACCCTGCATTCACTATATCTGGTCTCCCCGGACCCTGCATTCACTATATCTGGTCTCCCCGGACCCTTCATTCACTATATCTGGTCTCCCCGGACCCTGCATTCACTATATCCGGTCTCCCCGGACCCTGCATTCACTATATCTGGTCTCCCCAGACCCTGCATTCACTATATCTGGTCTCCCCGGACCCTGCATTCACTATATCTGGTCTCCCCGGACCCTGCATTCACTATATCCGCTCTCCCCGGACCCTGCATTCACTATATCCGGTCTCCCACAGTACACAGAACATGGAAATACAATTATTTTAGAAAATATAAACTGCTAAATACCTTTTCTCATCAGCAGTATATAGCAGTCTTGTGATCAGCAGGTGATTGGAGATTGAAAGGAGAAGGAGTAGACTGATGAGCTCATCTCTATCACTCTGCCCCTTCCTCCTATCAGCATGCCCCTTGTTAGCACATGAGCATTGTAGCACTAATGATTTGCTCCATGTGTTGCTTTTCTCTCTCTCACCCAGTCTGAGCTCTGTTGTTCAGGGATTGCAAAAGGCGGATGCCAAGTGAAATTCAGGTACTTACACTGCATGCATTCAAAAGAAATGGCATTTAATGATGTATTTAGAAATAATGAGCTGAATTAATTAGTATCTTTTTTATCTGCCTGGAGTTCAGTTTTAGCCACAACCTCATAAATGCCAGACATTTGGGTAACAAGAAGAATCATCATGGAATCTTCACACCCAACCGCTATGTCTTGTCCAGAGGAGACCACTCACCTGGGTGTAATGGGTGCACATTGGTCCTGAACATCTCTCGGGACAATATGGGTTGCATTCATGTGGGTGCGGATAGGTATAGTCCTTCACCTCATCATACCAGGACTGGACGTGAAAGGCCGGAGATCGATATCTTCAAGCAGAGAGAAGAATGGGAATGTTATTTCACTTTACATGGGCAGTTGTATGAATCATCTTCCTGTACAGCAATTTCATGCCAGCGAGTGGCCATGGCTTTTGAGGCTTCTATAGATTTTTGTAGCTGACTGCCCCAGAAATTGAGAATTCACTACATGGTCTGTCCTGTCATAGGTCATCATTCAGTTTTGGCTGAGCATTGATGAGATTAATTAACTAACTACTGCCTTGAATCTTATGGGGACACCAGCAAGATCTTTGCACAGAGTTCCCAGCCCGCCTCCTGTAGAACATTTCTGATCACATCAATGAGGATTGACCTCCTTGCAAAGGTCCAAGCAAGGTGGACAGAGCTGGGAGCTTGAGTGATCATATGTTTGTGGGGGGGGGGGCAAACAGATTGTGTTGCACCATGGCACAGTTGGGTCATGGTCACACATCTAGCTGACCTTTGATGTCTACATGCAACTTTGTAAGTGCTGGTAGAAAGATGCTGGGTGTGTTTCCTAACATTGGCCACCAATTGCAGTTGTATCTTGCTGTTTAGTACATGGGGGGGGTTGATTGGTTGAATGGGACAAGCAGATTGTGCTGCACCATGGGACAGTTGGGTCACGGTCAAACATCCAACTGAACTCTGATGTCTACATGCAACTTTGTGAGTGCTGGTAGTAAGATGCTGGGTGTGTTTCCTTACGTTGGCCACCAACTATAGTTGTATCTCACTACGCAATACATAGGGGTGGACAGATGATTGATTGATTGATTGATTGATTGATTGGGACAAGTATATTGGACAGTTGGGTTATGATCACATATCTAACTGACCTCTGATGTCCATGCTGGTAGATAGGTGCTAGGTGTGTTTCCTCATGTTGGCTGCCAATTGCAGTTGTAACTTACTATGCAGTAAATGGGGGGTGGATTGATTGATTGATTGACGGATTGATTGGGACAAGCAGATTGTGCTGCACCATGAGACAGTTGGGTCACGGCCACACATTTAACTAACCTCTGATGTCTACATGCAACTTTATGAGTGCTGGTAGATGGACGCTGTGTGTGTTTCCTCACATTGGCCACCACTCTGACTATGCAATACATGGGGGTGGTCTGATTGATTGATTGATTGATTGATTGATTGATTGACAGATGGACTGATTGAGTTGGACAAGCAGATTGTGCTGTACCATGGAACAGTTGGTCCATGGAAACACATCCAACAGACCTCTGATGCCTACATGCAACTTTGTAAGTGTTGGTAGAAAGGCATTGGGTGTGTTTCTCCACACTGGTCACCAAATGCAGTTTTATCTCACTATGCAATACACGGGGGGGGGGGGGACTGATTCATTGATTGGTAGACTGATAGATTGATAGCTCCAGTAGTGTCTCTCACCTGCCCCAGTGTACCGCCAAGTTTTGTCCAATGGACGTGAGAAGGTTGGTTGGTCCATGCTCCCACATACACTCCTGAGCCCAGGCTTCAGAAGACCTTTCCAGCTCCTCGTCCCATGTCTGCTCAGACAAAAAAGAAAAAGAGACTTTATTAATAATTATATTCTTCACTTTGCTTGATCTTCACAGGGTAACCTTTTTCTGAATATAGATGTGAATCGCTCATTTCAAAGTGGAATGTCAAACAAAACTTTCATTTTTTGCATTTTGGATAGAATGTGAAAAGCGTGGAACTTTTATCTTACCCCTTTGGAAAGGTTTCCACTCACATCCTGTCCTGGTGAGCACTATCAGGGAGTACAGGTTCCTCTCCAATAGGGACATAGCAAGAATAAAAAACAAACTGACAGAGGTCCTCACCCTCCCCACCCTAATGTACTTACTGGAGAGTTCTCCTCTCACTTCTTGTCTTGGTGACCATAGGCAGGCAGGAAGGGAGGGTATACTCACCAATGGAGACATAGGCAGCAGTGGAACCTCACATAATACATAAGGGGGATATGATCTCCATGTATAATACATAAGGGGGGATATGATCTCCATGTATAATACATAAGGGGGGATATGATCTCCATGTATAATACATAAGGGAGGATATGATCTCCATGTATAATACATAAGGGGGGATATGATCTCCATGTATAATACATAACGGGGGATATGATCTCCATGTATAATACATAAGGGGGATGATCTCCATGTATAATACATAAGGGGGGGGATATGATCTCCATGTATAATACATAAGGGGGGATATGATCACCATGTATAATATATAAGGGGGATATGATCTCCATATGTATAATACATAAGGGGGGATATGATCTCCATGTATAATACACATAAGGGGGGGATATAATACATCCATGTATAATACATAAGGGGGATATGATATAATACATAAGGGGGGATATGATCTCCATGTATAATACATAAGGGGGATATGATCTCCATGTATAATACATAAGGGGGGATATGATCTCCATGTATAATACATAAGGGGGTATGATCACCATGTATAATACATAAGGGGGGATATGATCACCATGTATAATACATAAGGGGGGATATGATCTCCATGTATAATACATAAGGAGGGATATGATCTCCATGTATAATACATAAGGGGGGATATGATCACCATGTGTAATACATAAGGGGGGGATATGATCACCATGTATAATACAAAAGGGGGGATATGATCTCCACGTATAATACATAAGGGGGATATGAATCTCCATGTATATTACATAAGAGGGGGGATATGATCTCCATGTATAATACATAAGGGGGGTATGATCACCATGTATAATACATAAGGGGGGATATGATCTCCATGTATAATACATAAGGGGGGATATGATCTCATGTATAATACATAAGGGGGATATGATCTCCATGTATAATACATAAGGGGGGATGTGATCTCCATGTATAATACATAAGGGGGGATATGATCTCCATGTATAATACATAAGGGGGGATATGATCTCCATGTATAATACATAAGGGGGGATATGATCTCCATGTATAATACATAAGGGGGGATATGATCTCCATGTATAATACATAAGGAGGGATATGATCTCCATGTATAATACATAAGGGGGGATATGATCTCCATGTATAATACATAAGGGGGATATGATCTCCATGTATAATACATAAGGGGGGGATATGATCTCCATGTATAATACATAAGGGGGGATATGATCTCCATGTATAATACATAAGGGGGATATGATCACCATGTATAATACATAAGGGGGGATATGATCACCATGTATAAATACATAAGGGGGGATATGATCTCCATGTATAATACATAAGGGGGATATGATCTCCATGTATAATACATAAGGGGGATATGATCTCCATGTATAAATACATAAGGGGGGATATGATCACCATGTATAATACATAAGGGGGGATATGATCTCCATGTATAATACATAAGGGGGATATGATCTCCATGTATAATACATAAGGGGGATATGATCACCATGTATAATACATAAGGGGGGATATGATCACCATGTATAAATACATAAGGGGGGATGTGATCTCCATGTATAATACATAAGGGGGATATGATCTCCATGTATAATACATAAGGGGGATATGATCTCCATGTATAATACATAAGGGGGGATATGATCTCCATGTATAAATACATCAGTGGTTTATATAGTGAACTCGGTGCAGAGTTATTCACCCTGAGGTCATCACAGAGGACAAGGGGGCGCTCTTTACGTCTGGAGGAAAAGAAATGTAATCTCCAAGCACAGAAGAGATTTCTTCACAGTAAGAGCTGTGAGAATGTGGAATACACTCCCTCCAGAGTTGGTTCTGGCCAGCTCAGTGGATTGTATTAAAAAAGTCCTGGATTCTTTCTTGGATACACAGAATATAACTGGATACTAACATTTATAGGTAAAGTTGATTCAGGGAATATTTGATTGCCTCTCAGGGGATCAGGAAGGAATTTTTTTTTCTGTTCAGGAGCAAATTGTATCATTCTTTGCTGGGTTTTGTTGCCTTTCTCTGAATCTACTGTGGGTGTAGGATTATAACTTTTTATTTTTTTTGTTTTAATGGTTGAACTGGATGGACTTTTGTCTTTTTTCAGCCAGACTAACTATGTAACACGGTCAATCATTTTCTGCCCTAGCTGATTGACTCAAAATCAAATCTAAATCAAACAGAAGAGAATCTATGCTTATTCAATTGCTTTCCAATTCGATCGTTTGATGAAATTGTGCATGGATCGGATAATAAAGGTGCGACCACCACTGATTGGATGATTTTTTTTACTTAATACCTAAAATATGTGAAAAACAGACAGAGAAGCAAAATGTGAGACTCTCCATCTCCACCACCCACCACCAGCTCAGCTCAGCACTGGGTCCAGATGTGGAGTGGATCACATGAAAGAAGCGTGACCCATGTAGGACACACTGGCCTCAGCTGACATGTGACTGCAGTCAGATAAATATTGGAACCTGCAGAGACCCCCCCGACTTCCCCCAGACTAACGTGACGGCTTTGAGTTTAATTCTTGTTAACATTAAGCACTTCTGTCATCTGATTTTCATTATAAAGGCTGAGTGAGCACATGTGTGCGATCGACGCGACGTCCGCTAAAGATTATTCCATCCGCTGACACAGTGCCGAGAAGCAGACTCAGCCATTTACCAAGATATAAAAAGAAAACACATAAAACATAAATTATATTCTCAGAACACATTGGATGGTGGAACTGAGTCTATTGGGACAAATATTAAATGATCACTCTACCCAAAAGAGATACTTGAGTTATGGGTGGTGTCCAGCTGAGCAGACCACTACACCAGCTCCGCACCCTCTGTAGAGTCTTACTACTCCTGCTGCAACATTTCCCTGAGTGTTCCCATCCTTCCTTCTGCATTGTTCATAGTATATGAAGTGCAGAGATCTTACTAGAGGAGTCCTAAAAAGAGACAAGAAACTTCTCCAGCATCCACCAAACACTCACATTACCCATTTTGTTTAGACATTGGATAACTTTGTGACATCACTGAGAATGCAGCCTATCCATTCCTATCCATCACTGAGAATGCAGCCATCCATTCACTAGAGCGGTGACATCACTGAGAATGCAGCCTATCCATCCATTCACTAGAGACCGGTGACATCACTGAGAATACAGATCCATCACTAGAGACCGGTGACATCACTGAGAATGCAGCCTATCCATTCACTAGACCGGTGACATCACTGAGAATGCAGCCTATCCATTCACTAGAGACCGTGACATCACTGAGAATGCAGCCTATCCATTCACTAGAGAATGACATCACTGAGAATGCAGCCTATCCATTCATTACTAGAGAGCACAGAGAATGCAGCCTATCCATTCACTAGAGAACAATGACATCAACTGAGAATGCAGCCTATCCATTCACTAGAGAGCGGTGACATCACTGAGAATGCAGCCTATCATTCATTCACTACATCAGATGCAGCCTATCCGGTGACATCACTGAGAATGCAGCCTATCCATTCACTAGAGAGCGGTGACATCACTGACATCACTGACTGAATGCAGCCTATCCATTCACTAGAGAGCGGTGACATCACTGAGAATGCAGCCTATCCATTCACTAGAGAGCGGTGACATCACTGAGAATGCAGCCTATCCATTCACTAGAGAGCGGTGACATCACTGAGAATGCAGCCTATCCATTCACTAGATACTGGTGACATCACTGAGAATGCAGCCTATCCATTCACTAGATCCTGAGAATGCAGCCTATCCATTCACTAGAGACCTGACAACATCACTTAGAGAACAATGACATCAATGCAGCCTATCCATTCACTGAGCGGATGACATCACTGAGAATGCAGCCTATCCATTCACTAGAGACCATGACATCACTGAGAATGCAGCCTATCCATTCACTAGAGACCTGTGACATCACTGAGAATGCAGCCTATCCATTCACTAGAGAGCGGATGACATCACTGAGAATGCAGCCTATCCATTCACTAGAGACCGGTGACATCACAGAGAATGCAGCCTATCCATTCACTAGAGAGCATGACATCACTGAGAATGCAGCCTATCCATCCATTCACTGAAAATGCAGATTCACGATGTAACATCACTGAGAATGCAGTCCATCCATTCACTTGAGAGCGGTGACATCACTGAGAATGCAGCCTATCCATTCTTGACATCACTGAGAATGCAGCCTATCCATTCACTTTGTGCAGTGATTCCTCTGGTGAATGGATAGGATGCATTGTCAGCTCCCTCTTTATAAATGGAGCATACATCCAGAGCTCAGAGGCTCGGCAGGCGCCAGAGTGGATGAGGCCCCCCCCCCCCCATCGGGGGAGATTCGTCCCAGCCGGATTAATGTTTCTCCATTTTCCATGCAGTACACATCACCCCCTCCTATAGATTCATTTAATGCTGGATTTTGGCCCCGGTCCACGCATACTGTACTCGGAAAATATACAGATTGCAGCAGCAGCACACCAGCAGCCTTCGCCCGTCTAAGCGATTACATTTT